ATCACATGATCTCTTTCAAGTCAATCTCAGTGAATGCTTTGCCAGCTGTTGAGGCTACAGAAGCTGGTCAAGGAGAAAGTTAGGACACTTGATGCTCAATTAAAACACAACTTGTGTATGAATTCTGACATCTCAGTGTAGCCTCTTCTTACTTTCTATGTCATCATCAGGTAATTCCCTGGAGGGTACAAAGGCTAAATGATGAAGAGCTGTTTGGCTGGAGTCAGTTTCTCTGAAACATTGAGCTAGATCCCCAGGAGACTACAAGATATCAGAAAGGCAGACCACAAAGTTTTGTAATGAAAAAAGAAAAGACTACAAACTCTTGTAGTCCAAAAAGTGGACACTACAAAGTTTTCTAATGAAAAAGCAGAGACTACAAACCAAACTGATATTATGTAATGACTTTCCCAATTAGGAAATATGCAAACATCGTCATGAACAATGACAACACTAAGCTAGCCACTAACTCTTGTGGCCCAAAGTGCATGGGAAACAGTTTCCAACCAAAATGTGCACTGTGCCTGACATGAGGTGTGGCAGAAAAAAGTGTAACACTTTTCCCAATTAGGAAATAATGCACACATCAAAGCGTATACTACACATGGGTCAAAGCTATTGGTAAATATCTGTCAACAAACATCCCAATGAGGCTTTCTGCCTACAAAATAATAGGTAAATCCCCTATCCCCTATATCAAAAAAAATCCAAGTGTTTTTTAAAATATAGGACCCCAGACACCTCTTGTGGATGAAGAAATATATCCTTACTCAACCCCAGCTGCAAAATATATCCAACGTCCATCCCAGACCAGAAATATATTTTTACAATGTGACAGTCACAATTCAGGGTCCAGGCATAAGAAATATATTTAGAGTCCATCCCAGTGAGGAAATATATTTGGTGTGACATTGGACATCAAAATATATTTAGGTAAAAGTAGAGATATACAAGCCCCAGGATATATACAATATAGATATACCCCCTGACATTTAGTCCTGTAGTATTCATGGAGCTTGCAAGACTAATAGTCAGTTGTCAGTGGGTGACTGAAGTGATTACAGTATGACATTGCCATGGCCCCACCTGAGGAAGAAGTCAATTGTAAGCCAACAAAAGAGTATCCCCTCCATCCGAAAAAAGAATTGTGTAGTGCAAACTGAGTGGATAATACTTGAGCAAGTTGGCAATTCTGGACTGAATAGCTTCCAGGCTAAAAAACCCATCTGCAATGTGAAGTGTATCCATAGTGTCATTTGAAGTAGGTAATACTTAAGCAAGTCGAGAATCTTGCTTCAAGGTAGGACAGTGCTGTCTGGAGGACAGTTCCAGACATTTCTAAACAACAAAGTACTTTGTGAACTCTGATCAGCTAAATACACATTTGTAATGTGAACTGTATCCATTGTGTCATTCAAAGGGAGTAATACTTAAGCAAGTCAAGAATATTGCTTCAAAATAGCACAGTGCTGCTTGGAGGACAGTTCCAGACATTTTTTAACAACAAAGTACTTTGTGCTGAGCAGCTAAAAAAACTCATCCATAATGTGAACTGTATCCATAGTGTCATTTAAAGTAAATAACACTTAAGTAACTCACAAACCCATCTGTAATCGGAACCATACCCATAGTGTCATTTGAAATCTGAACAATAAAGGATTCTGTAAATTCTGTCTGACCAGCTAAAAACCCATTTCTTACACTCATTTGTGACTTGGGTACATTGCATAAGAGCTGCAATGACCAGATCACAGATGCCATTAATGCACCTTATCGATGCTGAGAGCACAGGCCTACATAGTGCCAAAACCTCTGGAAGTCAGTGCAGAATCTTCCAGAATATATACTCCAGACAGCAAAAAAATCACAAGTTTTTTGCTGAAACTGCGACCCCTGACACTCCTACAGACCAGAAAAATATATCCTAAGGCCAAGCCAGGGCAAAAATATATTTCTAAGGTGTGACAGTGACAGTTCAGGGTCCACTCACCAAAAATATATCCTTACTGCATTTCACTTGCAAAATATATTTTGGTGGTGTGACACAGACACTATAATTTTTGTGTGACATTTCAGGGTCCATGTGTCAGAAATATATTTTAGATTCCAGGTCTTTCTAGGACCCATATATATCCAGAATATAGATATGGTCCATGACTTTTAGTCAAGTAGCATACCTGGAGTTTGCATGACTAATAGTCAGTTGGCAGTGGGTGACTGAAGTGGTTCCCCACCATTCATTGTGTTCAACATGTCCTTGCACAGTTCTATGTCCTCACGCTGTTCCTGATGTCGCTGGTGGGTTTGCCTGGTCGATGATGCAGATGTGTCATCCTCATGATGTTCAGACATGGCCATTGGACTTGCCACATCATCATGGAGTTTTCCAAGTCATATATGGATCCGTTGGGCAGGGCTATGCAAAGGGTGAGTGAGGTAGGGGCAGAGGGAGGAAGCTTTTGAAAAGGCACATGAGTTGCATGTGCTGTGACTCATTCTGCAACTGCACCTTGTGGGTCTCCCTCTTCCAGGGCCTCCCCATCATTTCTTCAAACCCTCGGCTGACATCTATGACCTAACAAGGCGAGCCCACATCCTGGATGAAGGGAGGGGCTGTGTGACATGGTTGTGCTGTGTTTGCACATTAGAAGACCTAAAAACTCATTAAAACAGGTATGAATCTGAATCTGAGTACTTTCAAACCACTTACATGTCTCGTTCAATGACTTAGAGAGACAGTAGTGACAGTAGCCGTGAGAGAGCAATGAGGGAGGAGAGTTGTGGCGGTTGAAGATGAGATCAATGATGTTTGGCATTGTTGATGTTGTTATCCAATCTTTTCCAAGCATCTGCAACTGAGCAAAAATTGGAAGATCTGACCCAATGCCAAGATGTTTGGGAGGCTTGAAAGACCAGTTAAGACCGGTTATAACCAGTTTAGCTTGGTCTTTGAATTTTCAAATTTCTGATGGACTGTAGACCAAACCATGGTTATGGTCTTCATTGGTCCTCATTATTTGTGGTCCTGATCAGTTAGAGTCTGGTCTGGTAACAGTTTTTTTCCGGTCTTGTAATTGAACTTCCAAACAGTGTGGATGTTGTGTTACTGCAGGCAAAGGGCATGATAGCATCATGGGAGACTACATCCCTCCCATTAACCAGACCAAACTTACCAATATCTGTAATGCAGGCTAATTTTGCCACACTGGAAATCACTCTACTGATTCCTGTTTTCTGTGCTTCAAGCATTTACCATGAGATTGGGAGACATGTCGTGTTTGGTTCTACAGCATCAGGACTTTCACATTTTACTTTTTTTGACTTGTGCAAGTGGCTACAAGTTGAAAAAGGTGGAAAAGCCACAAGTTAAAAAGCCAGGCCAAATTTTGTGAAAAGTGGCTATTGGCAAGCAAACAAAAAAGTTGAAAAAGCACAAAAAGTCACAGAAAAGAGCAATCAAGGCAAAACTAGCAAGTAAAGTGCAAATTTACTGAACTACATAGTCTACTCAACATCACAGAAATCTACCTAGCTGAGAGAGATGCATAAAGAATCTGTCAGAGAGAAATTTATAAGAGGAAAATTCAAGAACATGGAATGACACACCAGATTGCCTTCTGAACCTGCCACAATCCATTGTCAACAAGTGTCCAAAACATGATGTGACTGCACACTATGATTTCAGTAGATGCAGCAGCACCCACATAGTACATGCAGTAGACTGAGCAGGGTAGAGGGGAAGGCTGGTAGATGAGAGTTGAAGAGAGGAATGTGACGTGGAGGTGTTTGGCTGTATTGATCAAATATTCAACTCACGTGGTGTTGCCATCAGCCGCCATGACATCTCTTCCTTCTTACCATCACCACCACTTCACCAACTTCTGCAACACAGCAGTTATCCTCATACACTGTTTGCTGCCAGAGAGGACACCACTCCTCAACACTGTAGCATGACCTGTTCCATCCATGGACTGCCAGTACAGAGTGCTCCTTCCCTCTCTTATAGTGTGTGCCACTCAATTGGTTGACAGCTCAGGCCGTTTGTTGCTGAGAATCTGAAGGGAAGATAGGTCTGAGTGGTGGAGGGGGTTTGAGGTAGATTAGTATTGTAGTCCCTTTTGTAATCTGAGTGTTTCTCGAGATCTGCTAGGATGTCATAATTTTGGTAGATTAGCTTTCCAGCTTTTACACTTTTCAGCTGGTTGCAAGCTAAAAAGCAGCTAAATGCCAGAAAGTAAACTGTTAACTTGCTGATGAGCATGGCAGCTTCATCTCACTTCATTTGGATTAAGAGGATGTTCAGGGACTACTTTAAATGGAGCAGCTCAAGACACTACTCACTCTTGGACACAACCACCCTCAATTGAAGCTCCTATCATCAATGACCCACAGCCCTAGCTCAACCTTCATCCCTCTTGAAGCTCGATTGACCTTGCCAGGTCGGTCTGCTCCTGCTCCAGATGTATCCCTACTTCATCAAGCTGCTGTCACCTTGGAAGAATGAGTTGAATGTCTGCAATGTTCTCAAAGTGGACAGAGGCATCGGAAACATAAGGCCAAACAACAGCAAAGCTCATAACCACAGCTACTAATGTGGGGGGCTTTGTGAAGTAGTAGTATTGCGGACTCCATCATTGACATCACACACCATCATTTACTATTGTCCATAGTTGAATATTGTATATACATAGTAGAACCCTACATTAGGGTTACATTATCTTTTGAATCATTACCTTTTGCATCCCATGCATGTCAACTAGCATCTGGTCAACACAAGCCTACCAGGCTTGTGTACCTTACAATCAACATGTCCGGCCAGCTGAGCAATACTTTACCATCCCCCACATAATCCACATGGACTCCACTGGATTCCACTGGCTTCCACTGGCTTCCACTGGACTGGACTGGACTGGACTGCCAATCACAAAATTGGACTCCACTGGACTCTCCCAACACAGAACTGGACTGGACTGGACTGGACTGAACACACAACTGGACTGGACTGGACTGGACTGGACTGCCACAGACCTTAAGCTAGACTTAGATTTCAGAGCAAAAAGAAAATTTAAGTATATTTAATAACTACATAAATTAAATTTAATACATTCTATATTACAGAGAGGGGGAGGGAGTGAGGGAAAGAAAGGGGGGAGTGAAAGGGAGGGGGGAGAGAGGAAGGGAGGGGGGAGGGAGAGGGAGTAAAGGGGGGAGGGAGTGGTGATCAGGAAGGGAAAGAAGGGGGGAAGGAGGAAGGGAGGGGGTGAGAGTGGTGAAGGGGGAGGGAGTGGTGAAGAGGGAGGGAGTGAAGGAAGGGGAAGGGGGGAGGGAGTGGAGGGGACGGGTGGTGGTGCTGGGCCCTCGTTGCCCACTCTTCACATGTTGCCTGCTCTGCACGTGTCGTTGTCGTTGCACGTCGTGGGCTGCTTTGGTGCCGTGGCAGTGGGCAGTCATTGTTTTTCGTTGGCTGTCGTTGCTTTTCGTGGGCAGTGGTCGTTTTTCGTGTGACGTGGCAGTGGGCGGTGGTCATTTTCCGTGGGGCGGCAGTTGTTTTTCATGGGCACTCGTCCTTTTTTGTTGGTGGTTGTCCTTTTTTGTATGACGTGGCAGTGGGCATGGACGTGTGGTGGTCGTTGACGTGGGCATGTCGTTGTCGTCGACGTGTGATGGTCGTTGTTGTTGTAGGGGGTGGGCGCTCATCATGGTTCGTTTGTGGTGGGGGTGGGTGCTCGTTGCGGTTCGTTGACGGACAGTGGTGGGCACTTGTCTTTTGCCCTGATGTGGCTTGCCGTTGCATGGTGCCATTGTCGTGGGGTCGTGGTGCCGTTGTTGTGGGGTCGTTGATGCCTGTCGTGGTGAGAACAGAGGGATGGGTGTTGGGGCACACGTACCATTGGCCCATGACATTGCCACATCATGGGCGCTGCCCCTCATTCTGCATTGGCATCGTTGATGACGTGGATGTCGTTGGCGTGGGCGTTGTTGGCTTCACGTGTCGTTGATGTGACGTGGCAGTGAGGGGTGTCGAGAGTGGTTGTCGTCGTGAGCGTCGGTGGTGGTGAGAGGGTGGTGGTGGAAGGGAAAGGGAAGGTCACAGTAGTGTGACCATGCCACAAACAGGAGATGTGACAATATGGCATGCCCTCAAGTAAGTCACGTGATATCACCCCGCAGACTGAACAAAATCATGAATCCTTATTGCAGCTATCACGTACCCATACTTATATGTAAATCATTAGCCTTCCATCCATATTTGTATTTGATTGATAGCAATACAAGTCTGGCTTGTTCTTTGCATAGTCTATTTCGCTTTTTTTGTAGTATTAATAATAATAAGTAATAAGTAATAATGCACTGGAATCACTGGACTCCACTGGACTCCAGTGGAATCCAGTGGACTATGACTGGACTCAGAGTCCAGTGGACTGGGACTGGACTCAGGAAAGTGGCTTGTAGTCCAGTGAGAGTCCAGTGGACTGGACTGGACTGGACTGGGCATGGTGTAAGCCAATCTGGCCTAGCAACTGGGCCACTGGAATCCACTGGACTCCACTGGAATCCACATGGATTACATGGGGGATGGTAAAGACCTCCCAGCTGAGCACCCTGCAACTGCTCACTTACCAGGATAAGTGCTGACACGTCGTCAGCCACCCACAACTTCTCAGACTTACTATGTGAGAAGTAGTTGAACACCATTTCACAAGGTCCTTTGTGCCCATCTTTTGAACACTTGTTGCACACATGAAGCTGATGACACTGGCTGCTATCAAGCAAGCACAGATTATCATTCCATCCATTGCATGCTTCTTGTTTCTTGTGGGAAGATGGGCTTTTGGAGGCAAGAGATGCATGTTGAACAACTGCCACACCAATTGAATCCATGTGCACAGCTTTGAGATCTGCAAATTTGTTGAAATCTGTAAGTTCCAGATCATGGTGATTCCCAATGCAGTGGCAGACAGCTTTGTCAAAGAGAATAACTCAGTCATGGAAATGGATGTCTATTGCACATCAGGAAAATTGCATCACATGTGGCACCATGCTTCTCATGCAAACCACACTCCACTACACTACCACAAACAATGGTGGGGACATTATAACTTGCGGTGGTGACTCAACTGCCACAATTGTTCATGGCACCACAAACTCATCATAATGTTGTGATGGCGCCACAAACCCAGCTTCTGAATTATTGCACCACACTGGTCATTGCCAACATAAAACATCAAATTTGTTGCATTACTGTACTATGTACAGAAACATGTAGCTACTGATGCAAAAACCAATTTGACAAACTAACAAATTGATAAGAATTATTCAGAACACATCAAGGGAAACTCACTGATCATCCTTGATGTGACCCTCCTGACAAGGGTGAGATGGGAAAAGGGCACTCATTAGCATTGGCTGGGACAAATGTGGGATGATGGGTACTTACTGTTGCATCCTGAAACATGCAATGACAATGAATGACATTCATTGTTCAGGCTGCCACATCACTGACAGCAACATGGCACCTTGATTACCTGATAGAAAGATGAGTGAGGGGGAGGTGAGCTTGCCTCACTGCAGCTCATTGCAATCCATCTGGTCAGTGGTGGTGGGAACGACAAGCACATTTGGATGAGGGTAGAGAGAAAGTAGATTCCCTAGGAGACAGACTTGGGTTACTCTTTTGAAGAAGGCAAAAAAAGAAAAGTTACCATTAGTTGGGCTAGCATCAGCAAGGCCCCAAGACTGCAACTTGTAACACAGCTGGACGTCATTTGCATGGTGCTGTTTCATCCTGGTTTGTGGGCAGTCATGGGTTGTAGCCGGTGTTGGCTGTTGTTGGCAGTGTTGTTGGATATGTAACATTGCTAGTGTTTGAAAGTCCAGTCCGGTCTGGATTTTTGATGCCCCAGGGCTTTAACCATAACCGTAACTGGTCTGCCTTTCTCCCAGAAGTCAAAAAGACCGAACTGAACCACAAGAAACCGTGGTCTGTGGTCTTTTTGCAGTCTATAGACTGGTCTTGGTCTTCCCCAGTTTTAACCGGTTTAAGACCGGTTTTTTGGCCATTTCTGAGTCAGTAACTTTATTAACGTTTTTTTTAGCTTAAAAATGAGCCCAAAAACGTTAATTTCCATTAAGGATTGGTGCTTCTATAAAACAAGTCTGGTACATCTAATATTTTTCAATAGTATTTTACATTTTCAACTGTATCTTTGTCAGTTTTGGACCAATTAATATGTTCTTGAGTGTGTTTTGAAGGGTATTTAGAGGGGTACAAAAGACTGGTCCTAACTGGTTAAAACCGGTTCACTTAGACCAGTCTTTTTTCAGTCTTTACTTTTCAAAAATGAAAAGACCAGACCACTGGTCCAGTCTTTTGCATTCTTGATCTGGTCTGGTTACAGTCTTTTTCCAGTCACAAGACCAGACTTCCAAACACTAGACATTGCATTGCCAATGTTGTTGTTGTGTTTGGTCAGGGGCACTTGGAAGATGATTGTTGTTTGCCATTTCACTGACTCTGCTTCTCTTGTCAAAAGGAGAGGGGAGGGTAGTCTGATGGCTCACCAGGTTGTTCATCATTCATCATAATTTGCCCTGTTTGTTGCCATGTCATAGACAGCAACGAGGCCCCTGTCTGGTGATAAAAGAGGAGAAGGGGAGGGAGTTTGAATGCTCACCTTGAGTAACATGGTCAGTGATGATGCATGTCATCATCACCCTCTGGTCAACGTGGCATGTCCATTGATGTGCCAGGTCATTGTCGTTGGGGTAGGTCATGTCATTGTCATCAGGGTGCAGGCATCATTGGAGGGAGGTTACCAGAGGAGGCAGTGGTTGGTGGTGGCAGGTGGAGCACGATGGGCAGAGGAAGGAGCTGGGCAGGGAGACTCAGAGAGTGTGGAATTCAAGGAAAAGTTCATAAGTCCAAACTTTCCAAATTCAGATGTTCAACATGTCACATGATTGGTACTCACACATGCCACAACAATCTGTGGCGTCAATGATTATTTGTAATGTACATGGCACAATTTATCCAGAGATCAAAATCATGGTGGAGTGGTGCCAGATCCATCACTCCTGCCACACTCTGCCATGCAATCACAATGTGCCACACATTTGTGATTTTCCTGCTGCAGCAAACAATCCAACAATGTATTCAGCAGAATCAGCAAGTTCCCTGGCATGATGGGCAAAAGCTGTGGATGTTGCACAAGAAGTCTTGTTCCAGGAGATTGTCCACTCACCAGTGCTTGAGATGACTTTGGTTGGAGCCACTGATCTGAACTTAATTTCAACTTCTCCAATGGATTTGACTTGCTCATCATTATTGGAAGTTGAGTAGTATTTTGAAGAACAGCATTGAGATTGACTGCACAAACAGCAAGGATGTTTGTCCACTCAAAGTCAGGAAACCCTGGGAAAGAAGTAGTGTTTGAAAGTTAGGTTAGTTAACCGGAAAATAACCGGAAAATAACCGGACCTAACCACAACACTAACCTAACCACGGTTAGGGTTAGTTGATTTTGAAAATGGAGTAACCGGTTATTTTGCAGTTAACTAACCGTTAAATAACCGGTTATAACCAGCCCTATTATACACCTTCAAAACGCACTTGAGAACGTCGAAAACGCTTAAAATTTGACTAAGTTATGGTCAAATCTCTAAAATATCACTCAAATGTGTAGACTTTCAAGGATAATTGCATAAATATGTCAATTTTTCACCGATTTTAGTGTTCTTGGGCTCGTTTTAAAGCTAGAATATGCAGAAATAATATCTATCAAGATACATATGAGCATATTTGCCTTGTTATAACCGATTCTTTATTTTTCGGTCCTAACTGGTTAGTAACTGCAAATAACTGACCGTAACTGGTTAGTTGCGGTCCAGTTAGGTTATTTTAGGTTTCGGGACAAAGGCTAACCAGTCTCGGTCTCGGTTAGAGCCCCTGGGCACCCAATAACCAGACCTAACCGGACTTTCGAACACTAGAAAGAAGGAGAGCTGACAAGGGATCTTTTCATACCCTTTGGATTGATGGTGTATAATTTGAGCAGATCCAGGGTAGCAGTGAGGCTAGAAGATAAAGTGACATTCTGGATGAAGTCTGAAACATTCCATGGATATTATGAGTCATCTGGCTTTGCGTGTTTTCTCAATATTGGACATTCACATTCAGGCTTGCCTTCATCCCCATCATCATAATGCTCACCATCTTCTGCTGATCACTTTTCACCTTGTTGTTTTGCCTGAGTGAGATGGCATTCATGATCATCAACAATAAATAAGTATCATGCAAATCTGTCTTCAACAGCTGATAAATCTTCAGATAGAGCATTGACAAGTGTTGTGTGAATCCGGCTGAGAGCGGGCTACCTTTGAGATTTTAGAGAACCAGAACTCATTGACCATTTTGCTACAGAGGGTTTAAGAATGGCATGAGTGATTATTGAGTCAGGCCCTTTCAGCACATTCAACAGCCTATTTACAGAGCCATGCTCATTGAAGATTGCTTGCCATTGGTAGATGCTTCTCTGAGACACACCAAGTACATCCATGATTTCTTTGATTTCCCAGCCTTGATCCCAGAGTTTAGGGCACATTCTTTCATATCTGAGCTTATTTTTCGATAGACCATTAAGTTATGATAAGCCAAACTTAAGGGGATGTGAAGGGAGTCAGAGAAACGGCATGTGTTGGTCATGTGAGGTGCAGGAACATGCAATGAGCATTTTCCCAAAAAGGAAATGACCTATGTCATAGATGTCAAAAAAATCACACTACTCTGAAAGTGCTGTAAATGAATATATTTCTCCAGAAAGAAATTGAGGAATAAAATCCCATGATTCTACTCCTCAAACTATCTCACAACCATTGGGTCTCTACTGCATGATACCCTTGAGATTAAAGAAGACAAGAAAATATTAGCAAATATTCACATCAGTGAAGGAAGCTGAAAACCTTCATTCATCTTTGAATTCAGCATGGGTTTCCACAATGTTAGCTTGCAAGACCTCTGATTGGTGGTGATTCCAGGTCTCAAGGAGACCATGATTCCAGATCGCAGCATATGGCTTCATTCAGAAAGTGGGAAGATCAGTATTGATAAATGAAAATGAGAAAACATACAATCTAGACAGTAAGGGCAGGTGGGATTGAGTGTGGCTGATGGAGAAAATAAAGGAGAAGCACACACTCTCTAGATATGAGGAAAAAAGAAGGGGAGGTGAGTACAATGAACAAGGATGAGGGAGGAAGAAAGCACATACTTCCTAGAGACAAGGAGATGAAGAGGGGTCTGAGGACAGCCAACACAGAAGACAACAAAAGCACACACTTCCTAGATATATTAAGACAAAGAGGGGTCTGAGTACTGCAAACACAGATGGGGGAGGACAAAAGCACACACATTCTAGAAACCAGAAGACAAAGAGGGGTCTGAGGATGGCAAACACAGATGGGGAAAGGATGAAAGCACGCACACCCTAGAGATAAGAACAAAAGGGGGTCTGAGAATGACAAACATAAATGGGGGAGTACAAAAGCACGCACATCCTAGAGATGAGGAGACAAAGGGGGTATCTGAGGATGGGGAACACAGATGTGGGAGGATGAAAGCACGCACCCACTAGAGACAAGGAAACAAAGGGGGTCTGAGGATGGCAAACACAGATGAGGGAGGACAAAAGCACACACACCTAGAGACAAGAGACAAAGGGGCATCTGAGGATGGCAAACACAGATGTGGGGGGACAAAAGCACACACGAACTAGAGACAAGGAGACAAAGGGGCGTCTGAGGATGGCAAACACAGATGTGGGAGTATAAAAGCACACACAATCTAGAGACAAGGAAACAAGGGGGTCTGAGGATAGCAAACACCAATGTGGGAGGATAAAAGCACATACCCACTAGAGACAAAGAGGCATCTGAGGATGGCAAACACAGATGTGGGAGGACAAAAGCACACACAGTCTAAAGAGGAGACAAAGGGGGGTCTGAGGATGGCAAACACAGATGAGGGGGGATAAAAGCACACACAAACTAGAGACAAGGAAACAAGGGGGTATCTGAGGATGGCAAACACAGATGTGGGAGGAAAAAAGCACACACACTCTAGAGACAAGGAAACAAGGGGGTCTGAGGATGGCAAACAATGATGAGGGAGAACAAAAGCACAAACCAACAAGGAGACAAAGGGGCATCTGAGGATGGCAAACACAGATGTGGGAGGACAAAAGCACACACCAGCCTAGAGACAAGGAAACAAGGGGGGGTCTGAGGATGGCAAACACAGATGAGGGAGGATAAAAGCACACACCGCCTAAACTAGGAGACAAAGGGGCATCTGAGGATGGCAAACACAGATGTGGGAGGAAAAAAGCACACACCATCTAGAGACAAGGAAACAAGGGGGGGTCTGAGGATGGCAAACACAATGAGGGAGGACAAAAGCACACACCTAACTAGAGACAAAGGGGT